CGTCCAGGTCGCCATTCTGTATCATCTGCTCTTGGTAGTCCTCCCACTCGCCCCACTTCCTTGCGGAATTCGTGGCAACGTCGTGTCTTTTTCGAGCAATGTAGATACAGCCAATCAGGAGCATGTATCTGAACGAGTCCCCAGCCCAGAAACATCAGAAAAAAACTAACAAAACTTGAAGGAACGTCTCTGCTAGAAAAAGGTCTTCCAGGGAGCCCCATTCAGCTTCTTGATTGGGAGGGCGCAAACATGCTGACCTCACTTTATCACGCATGAGAAAGGTGGGTGGATGGTCAAGGAAGTACCTTTGAAAAGGATCCTAACACAATCTGCACGAATGAGAACCACAACAAGGCAAGGATTCCATTTGCAAGGGAACTTCCTCATGAGTGATCAAGGTGGTTGTACTCTTGGCCAGGGGGGACATGGGGGGACAGCCATCGTTTATGGATGCATCGGGGGGCCTTGGTTCCCTAAGCCTGATGGGTCAATTCGCTCCTCAGGCAGCTAGACGAGGGTAAGCTGGCACACTTTCGTGGCCAAGATCGACCAAGACGGGAAAACCACCCAACTTACAACACGGCACTTCTCTTGGCCGGGTCCCCGGGCTTGACCGCCAGCTGCAGGGTGGTTTCACCCAGCACCCCCTCGGATCGCAGGGCGTGCCGAAAGACGGGCCAGAAGATGTGCTCGTCGCCGAGGCCCTCCTCAGCGCCATGCCATTGGCGGTGGCCAGCCCAAGCAACCTCTCAGATGCCCGGTGGCCACGTGACAAAAAGGGCATCCTGTTTTTGTTCTTCTTCTTTTTTGGTTGGTTGAGTTGCAAGGGGGACCCTTCCCAAAAAAGGAAAAAGGGGCACCACTAAACAACTGGGACCTGGAAATAGAAGGGAAAAGATGTTGGAACCTTGACGAATGGACCAAAGGGAAACCAAAAGCTGAAAAGCTCGACTCGCTTTTTTGAAAGCTGAAAACACCCAGAGAAACTGGTTCTCGGCAACTGTGATGGCATCCGCTCGAGCACCGAGCTGCGCAATCCAGGAATGCAGCAGCGCGCCTCGGGCAAACTTTTCACCTGCACTCCCTTGAACATGGGAATGACTCGCTCTTCAAAAGATTCGCCTATGGGGCCTACCACATGTAGACCACATCTGGCAAAGAAGCTTAGCCAACACTGGCCGAGATGTAGAAGCCAGCCCTTACCCCCAAAAAAAAGAAGGAAGAAGCACAATGCCTAGTCACCCTGCACGAGCGCACGGCGAGCGCTACGCGCCGAACGAGGCGCTGGGGCTTCGGAAGACTACCCGAGGCGAAGCCCTCCAGCTCCGGGCCTGGGAGGCCGCGAAGGCCGCGAAGGCCAAGCTGGCGGTCGCTCCCTACGGCTTGGAAAGAAACCAAATTGGTTGAACGGGCCTTGGATCCGGCGGCAATTTATAGGCTTACTCGGTTACTCGCGAGGTTGGGAAGAAACCAAATTGATTGAAATAAAAGGGAACCCGGTTGATCTTCAACCCAGATTGGTTCAGTGACAAGACATCCTTAGGGAACAACCCTGGTGAGCTGGGTGAAAGCAACTGGCCAAGCTGATTCCTCATTTCGGGGGAGTCGTGTCGTCCCATTTCTTTCACACAGAAATTGAGCCATCTCACCGTCTGGGTAACAGACTGTCTCTCTGTATGCCAGCATCTAAACATGGGCAACCTTCGTGGCATCGAGCAGGGTTTCTTTGAGTGAGCCCGAAGGCTGCCAACACACCTATCTATAGACCGAGCCTAGCCTCACCGATGACCGGAACCCTCCCTAGCGGGTAGTCGTCTTCCAAGAAGGTCCGCGCGGAAGCTTACCTTGTTGAGCCCTTGAATGCGAGAATCCCCAGGCCTCCTGAATAGCATACTGGTGATACATCGGCCTGAAAAACAAAATGTGAAACTATCAATCCCATTTGGTTCCCGGGGAAAAAGCTTTGATTGGTCTTGGCTACGATTCCGCGTTTGAAAACCCAGGCGCTGGGGTCCAAGCATTGGTCTGATTCACTTGAAGCAATGCCCACATCAGATCAATCCGAAGAACCGTGCTAATCAGCGATTGTGTGCCGTCCTTGAATTGCGGGTCCGGAAAAATGCCCATCCCCTTTTGGTTTCCCTCCACCTGCGAAGCCCATGCCTTCGAGAAAAACCACCAAATGTTGGTCGTTGTTCGGAAAAAGATCGTTGCTTGGAAAGAAGGTTATTTTGTGGAAAGGTAGTCTGGCTCATCTAAGATTTCCGTATTGTTCCGCCCTTTTCTGCTTGTTTCCGCCTTTATTTCGGGGTTTTCCGCCCTTGTTTGGCTCTCCAAGATGCACCCTACCCACGAAACTCAAAAAAAAGTCATTTTTTTAAACATGTTGTTTCAGGAAAAAACAGCTTTCTTCTCGAAAAGACCGGAGGAAAAAAAAAACGGCTTCACAGGTAGGACAATTTGGACTTTGGGACCTAAATTGGAAGGGGGGCTCGGATAATTCAGGAAGACCTGGTCGCAAACCCTTGGACGTTTGCTCAGACTCGTGCAATCGCTGCACTGCTGGATCTGCTAGATCCAGGGAGGACAGAGGTAGGCTGCATTTGAGAAGTCTGCCTCGCTGAACCGATGTGGAAACTCAGGGTCGCAAGCTGCCGCCTGCCTTCAAACCATTTTGGGCAAAGAGGATGGCAAAGTAAAGCCAGCAAAAGCCCGCCTGTCTCCTCCAATCTGGAAAAAGTGCTGCCCGCTGCCCTAAGCCTTTTGTGCCAAGAATCCCTCTGCGGCCGCTTTTGCCCACCAGAGCGCAGATGTCCACTGCACCTGATTGCGGCGCAAATGCGAACTTGAGCAGGAGATGCGAAAGGTAGCTCACAGGAGTTTGAAAGGCTGAGAGTCAATGGACAAAACGAGCCTGCTGGGAAAAGCTGAGGTAAGGAAAGAGCTGACGATGTGTGGCTACCTTAAATTTCTGTCGGCTTGACTGCCACTGGTGCGCACATCGAACATCCCACAAGCGGGTCTCAAGAATCTTGACGGTAGAAGATAAGTCATGTGTGGAGCGGCTTTAGTGGAAAACTGTCGCCGCTCAAGGCAGCCAGCTAAGGGCCACCTTTCACAGGCCACGAACAAGAAGGTTGAAGAGCCGAAACAACTGATATTCGCACCCATTTATGGCTGAGACTTGGCTTGGACTTGGGCTTGTGTGGAGGGGGTGACGCGGCTCCCGTGTGATATGCCCAGAGGAGAAACAAACAAAAGACCACATGCTTGCTAGCTGCCTGCGAATGCAAAAATGTGCCAACCAGAGTCAGGGAGCGGGTCCAAACAGGTTGAAAGGAGGGTCCCTGGTTTTGAAAACAAACTGGCCTAAAGGAACTGGGCATAGCGGTTTGTTTTTTGCAGGTGAGTGAGTCAGCTTCATCTTGCAGGTAGCAGCCAGTGCACCGATTCGCCCCTCCAGCCGCTGGCTCCCCCGCTAAAAAACTTATCCCAAATTGCCGAGCAAATTAGAAGAGCCAGTTTGAAACCAACACTACAACAATGACTTCCCCAAAAGGAATATCCCAAAAAACCGTTGTATGCCTTTCCTCTATAAGGTTCCAGAGGACACTGGACAGTGGCCAGGCCCTCTCATTTTTTGGAATTCTACAAGCTTGCCCTTGCGAAACCCACCAACCAACAAAGACAAATCAAAGCCAATTTACAAGTTTGAACATGTTAGGCAGCACAGCTGCATGGCCCAACCCTACGCCACTTAAATACCATGCAAAGGAATGTTCCCCGGAAACACGAATTCTTGCCAAGACACCAGCCGCATGGTGCCAAGTGATCAGCCATCTGGGTCATCTGCCAAATGGGGACAGACGGGCAGTTGGGGCGCACCAACGCGTGGACAAAGATGATCACGACACTACGGCGAACGTGTTCCTTCTCAGAGTACGCCTTCTACCGTAGCTCATTCCTCACGGAAAGGGGGAAGGACTCCTGATTCATCTGATTTTGTAGCTGCGCTGTTGAAAGGTGGTTGGACAGTAGAATGTGTTTCATGGACATATACATACATAGGCATACATATATTCTTTCTGTGTGCTTGAGTGTGTGTGTGTGTGCCTCTCATGATCTCATCTGAACCCTTTGTCTTCCGCGTTTTTGCTTTTTTGGGGTCGGGCGCGTCTTGTTGTAATTATGGCTTGAAGCCGAGAGCTGAAGCCAGAAAAGCGCCGAGCGAAGGCGAGGCAAAGGAGCTGGAACCTGGAACCTGGCGGGCCTCCCTGTCCAGTTTCTACTAAAAAGAGTCTGAAAAGATGATAAATATTCTGGGGCTGGCGTGTGCGGGGTGTTTCCTAACCAGGCTGTAAAATCCATTCCTTCCCCCATGCCAAGAAGTGTCCTGCGTTTTCGGCATCTCTGAGTCATTGCTCGACTGGGACGTTGGAGGGCTACCAAGCGAAAGCAGAGGGACCCCCCGAACAACTCAGCGGTGCGGCGTGTGCGCAGAAGCAATCAGGGAACGAAGCAAACCAAGCAGTTTGCCAGCACTTGACATCTCATCTACGTGTCTCACCGATCTGACGGACACCTTAGGGCTGCTGCGGCAACCTGCTTAAACTCGTGCTTGCAGCATGGAATCAACCAGCTCAAGGCCTTGGAACGACTTGTGCGGTGGATGACCATTTCACAGAGCCCAAGCCGAGTCCCGCTTGTGGCTGCTTGGTTGAACCCAAGCCAATGAAAAGAATTGCCAAGCCTACAACACAAGATCCTTCATGGCTCAAGGAACCCCGACTGAGGATCATTCCCCCAAACATCCTGAAGAAAGAGCCCTCAAGATACGAGGAATTTGGTGCGTTCATCTCAATCCGCAGGGTGGGGTGGGGTGAACAGCCAATGTGACGGACCCCTTTTCGAGCGGAAACGCATGGGCTGCGCAAAAGTACGATTGGGGCAACGAGATTTTGGCCCTCGACAGCTCGACAGGCAGCTCTGGGTTCCCAAGCATTGCTCCGCCCTGGCCTGCGCATCGGCCTGGCCCGCACGGCAGACAGGCAAAAACAATAAATCATAGGTAGATCCATCCTAACGCATGGCTCCCAATTTGAATGCATCTGAGTAGTCAAACGAGGCTCCGTCCCTCTAGTGTTTGCAGTACTTCGTGTGAGTCACCCAGTTCCCAAAAAACTACTGTAAATTCCGACCCAGCCTCACCCGACATCCATCCTGCAAGAACTCGAATGACAGCCCGATTAGACTTGTCTGCAAAGATGTGATCTTTTATGGGTTTGTAGGGGCTTACGGGTTTCACCCCCCAAAAGGGGGTGACGTATACAACAAGTTGGCCACCCCAATCCGGGCGAGCTCGAGGCTGGCAATAGACCTTGGCGCAGAGGGCGCTTTCATTGCCGGGCCCTCCGTTGTAGCAGGTTGACCACAGCATATCCCAAAGTGCCAGGCTAACAATTACCTGCGGGTTGCCATGAAAAAAGTATCCTCCAATTTACCCAAGAAAATTGGCAAGAACAGCACCCCCCACACGTAATTTTGAGAACCCTTCAAAAACTCAACAACTTTCAGGGGCGCAGAGCAACAGAACCCTTACCCCGTCCTGACCTCAATTCATACCCCTCTTGCCTCCTGCGCTGAGAGTTTTTCCAACTCCAGCTGCATGTCCCGCATCCGGGACTCCGCGAAACTCGCCTGGGGGCGAAAAATAAACCATGGCTCGTTTCGGCGATTGGCAACCCCAAAGGTGGTGCTTTCGTTTTACCAAAGCAAGAAAAGACAGGGCCAAAACAACTGATCTGATAAACATGCACGTGACACTGGAGATAAACTATGGCAAGCAAGCACGGGGAGAGGAAATGGACAGGAGCAACTTCGATTGGGCAAGGCTTTGTTTAGAGCAAGGGGAAATAGAGGTGGGTGCTCAAAAGGGAGTCTGGAACACATGGGGGCGGGATGGGGGTAAATTCCGTGCTATTTAGCACGAAATGGAACCGTGATCAGGTCAGGAGCCAAAAGGCTTGCCCCCGCAGAATTCAGCACACTGGGTGCTTGGAAATCAACATTGGTTGAAACCCCACTTCTGGATGAACCCAAATGTTGCTTGAACTTTTTGAGGGAAACTAGCCAAGAATCTGGTTGGTCCAAACTTGGTTGCTGTTGCTCCCTCTGCAAAAAGTTCAACCTGTTGTGGGTTTAATGGAAAATCCCTTGATGTCCCACAAAGTTAAAGTCTAAAGATCCACCCCATTAGCAGTAGAGCAAAGATCTCGGAGTCTAAAGAAGAAGCATCAAAACAAAAAGGGAAACCATCTCACTTTGCCCGTGCCCACCATGGACTTGACCTTCGAGCACCTGGCCTTGGCTTGCAGCTGCTGAATCTGGCGCTCGGAGCGCTCATCGCAAACCTGGGGCCAAGGGCCTAGCGTCAACAAACCTCCAACTGGTTCCTGGCCCGACTTGTTGTGACAGGAAGCCCTATATTACTCCCCCCCGCCCCCGCCCCCGCACATAAAGAAGCTGATTTCGAAATGGCCCCCAACAAGTATTCAAAGCCCTGTTGGCATGTGCCCATACTAAAGTGAAATCAGGTGGGACATGGGTAGCGCCAACTTCCTGCCCAGCTCGCTACCCAGAAGTGGCAGCAGCGCTTTCGCCAAGCGGTCACACAAAAAATTCGACCTGAACTGCCCTGAGAGTCCGAGTCGTGTAATTGACTACGGCTGCAAAGTGGGTTACACACCCCTCTCCTCGGCAGCACCAGCTTCGGAAGCGTTCCTTTCCTCCTTTGATCTGATTCTATCCAACGCCGTCCAAGGAGCATGGACAGGGCCCCTCAGTTCTACATTCGCTCAGCTTAGGGAATCCTGAGCTAATCCCGGGTCATGGAATGGCTGCCCCCGCATGGCTCGCGTTCTCGCCCCCATCCGCAAACATATCCGCGGTTGCCCCTGGTTGCCCTGATTTGAAGCCACAAGGAGTTCAGGCTGCGGAACTGGGAGCTGAAAGGGGCGCTCTGGTGAACCTGCTTCCCCTTTCCCACGGACCCATCGCCTGGTGGCTATCTGGCACCTGATTTGCGCGGCATGTGGGCATGCAGGACCCCTAGTTGCCCACCGCAAACAGGTGCATGTCTAAAAACAACAGTGGACTCTGCTGGAAAAGATGTCGTTTGAAAGGGACAAACATGAGCTTGTTCAGTTTGATGAATCTACAGCCAAATGCTGGGGTTTAGAGTCTGGGTGCTGGTTGCACCACTGCCCAGGCAATATGTTGAATGGTTCGCGACATTTCTTGATGACATCGGGTGATTTCTTCAAGTTAGGCAAACGGGCAACAAGGTAGGTCACCCTTTCACAAACCATGTGTTGGAGTATGGGGTTCTTCAAACCCTTAGACAAAGTCTCCCCACAGAACTTTCCAAAGTCCTGGTCGAGTTCTGTGAAGGCAAGCGGTCCTGGACCACGGTACTATTCGGGTCTGGCCAACACCGACGCACGATATTGTTGTCTCATTAAGCAACCTGGTGTGCACTGAGAAATGTGCATCAAAAACACATTCAACTGCTTCCCTAAGCCGAGCCACTACTTGCCTTCCTTTCGAAACCAACTAAGCAAATGACACTGTAGTTCAACAACTCGAGCACCAACTCAAATTCTTCGCTCTCGTGGCCAAAGACCACTGATCCTGGCACAAAGACACATAGATACAAGGGACAAACGGAAAGGGAAGGCACCCGCCTGAAAGGTCCTGGAAACTAAAGAAAGCATGTCCTCACGTGCTTGAGCCAAACGGGGAAATATATCAGGTTTCAACAGCCTGACAGCTATGACTAGCAGCCTGGTGCTCAAACAGGGTGGTGCGAGTCTAGGAAGAAACTCCATCCACTTGTTGCCGTTGATAAAAATCCTGCCGACATGATACTGGCCGACCAGATCCTTCTGGGCGCCCCAGCTCGTGTGCGTAGTTTCATCAGCTCAGCCTGCAATTGGCGACGCTCGCGTGCCATGGGATGAATGATGGGAACTTGGGTGGCCGAAGGGGGAACCAGGAGAAAAACCCGTACGTTCAAATCCAGGGTTGCCTTTTTACCTAACCCTGATAGAAAGCAGGTACACCCTTTAGCACCATGCCGGGCCGCAAAAGTTTGTCCCACTGCGTAGCCAGTCACCAAAAGGAAACTCACTTTAAGTTGGCTAGGCTAGGTGATGCTGAAAGTCAGCGGGAGAATGAGGGGAAACCAGTTCTCCTCCTCAGCTTCTTTGGTTGGCAGGGGACGGTCATTGCTTGGGCACGTCAGGTTTATTTGAATTCCCTGGGCCCTTGGGGGAGATTCTCACAACGGCAGCCCGCGTAGACAGGGTCCCTTCTTTTTTGGAACGGCCACATGTGACATGGCAGTTTAAAGGGTTTCCACTCTTCCAACTTAAGCAGCACAACTATTGAAAGGATAGATTATACAATCTAAGCGCTGTGCTTCCTGTGTCACCCGGCTTAAGCCACATATCCTTAATGCAAGCTCGACCTTGGAAAGCAAGTCATGGCTAATGCGCACCACAAAACATCCAGCAAATGGATGTGGGAATAGCTCAGCAACCAGGTCATAGCACATGTCAAGGTGGGAACAAGTGGCGCAGACCGTGATGCTTGAGGGTTGCAACTGCAACCGGCCAGGTCGGCAACTCCATTCTGATATCAAGGGATCTTTCTTCGCGGCGACACTGGACAATTTGTCTTGCCCATTGGCAAACTGACCCACTCCGCAAAGCCACGGGAGTGGTTGCACAAAGGCAAACCAAGTACTTCTACAACCCCAGTGCCCAACATCTGGGGTACACAAATACGATTTTCTGAGCCTGTGTCGCATATTCACCCTACGTAAGACAGAGACCGTTTTGGAGGGGACATGAGGAGACCCCACATCCATCCAACCGAGGCTCCAGCAAACAATTGGATAGTCGACTGACCTGGTTAACAAGAAGCTGCAAGGTAGCAAAGCTGGACTTCAAAACGCCAATCGCGACACCGGAGATTGCGGGGCATGCGAGGGAGACCAAGCCTGGGACCGCCAGCTCGCCCTTTCGCGCAGCGTCAAAGGGTGCAGCCCTATAGCAAGCCAATGAGGCATGCGCAGTCAGCAACTTGAATGGACACCCAAGTAGCATACAAGGCTCCTCCCAAAGCCCTGCAGGTAGAACTTTGGCCTTTAAGGGGAAGCTGAAGGAAACCAAGCTACCCAAAAAGGCCATGGTCTGATTATCGTTTGTCTCAGTTGCCCAAAGGATTCAGTAATAGAAGGTGATCACTTTTTGGGGCCATGTCCAATGGTCGCCAACCAGAGGAAACCAAAGGTCAGAAGGTTGATTCGCATTGGGCAAGTGAGTTTTCCGGGTTTTTGAAGGGAAACCGAAGGAAAGCCGCCATTTTGGAGTATTCTGCTTAAAAAGCGACCCACCCGTATAAGGAACCCGTTTTCGGTTGCCGCCGGATGCAACATTCCGAAAGCTGTGCCTTGGCCGTGGCCGCTAGAGACCGCTGCAGGGTAGCGTCCGCCTCTGCAGCCTCCAACTTCTGCTGCAGGCGCTCCACCTGCGAATTCCAACGTGACGCAAGAAGAAAACTTCAGAACCTTTGGATAGAAATCCGTAGGAAACACTCTCGGCTGAATGTAAACAGATTCTCCTGGAAGGATTAGGGTCGACTCTTGCCGGGGTGCCTGCGACCTTCTTGGAGGATACCCGTCTTCGGGCTCGCTTTCAAGGGAGACCAAGGGCAACACACCTAGTAGGGCGTCCATATCACATCAAAAGATAGACCGATGTGTTGCCCCTTGCATGGACACCTAGTCTTTTAAATCATCATGAGATGGCTAATCTCATTACTTACGGCATGATGGCACCCAGCTGACCAGCATGGCCGTGGGTTCGTGGGTTTGTACACCAGCCTTTGAGGCTCATGGTCTATACACGCACGCAGTCACACACACACACACGTTTCC